CGCGTTTCTTAATAAATTATTTTCCAAATAACTAGCCACTTAGAATGAATATGCGAGTTGATATCTTTGTGATAAGGTGGAGGGATGTTAAACGTTATCTTCTGTATTTTAATTGTTTCATTTTCTGTTCATAGGTGCTTTCCACCTCGTTAAATGACACCTCRGCCGTGAGCAAATCGAAAAACCCCAACACATATGTAATCTACTCCAACAACAAACGTGTCACGCCCAAAGGAGCCAAGTAAGGGGAGAAAAAAATAGACCTCTTCGGCTCTGACGTAATGTTTTCCCATTTCAGACCACATGTCATTCCCTAGAGTATCATTTCTTCGTTTAAGGTTTACGCTCGGTTGCACATGAGAAGGCACATGAATATGGATACAGCTCAAACAAAGAATCTTATTCTCAAGGGAATGACGTGGTCTGAAATGGGAAAACATTACCCTAAGCCGAAGAGGTCTATTCAGTCACTGACATCTCGCTTAACTTATCACATGCAGATTTATAACAAATGGAAATTAGAAATACTAAAATTGGCTGTTCCTAGGTGTCGCAGTTTATGCATTAACAGACAAATGCGTATATTCTAAGCCTTCGCATTATATTATGAGCATAGAAAACCTAAAACATGCATTGCTCGCTATATACAGCCATTGCGCATGCGTATCTCCACCTATTTTGCGCATGCGCATCTACTTCCGTCTCTATTCTCAGCAAATTATTAACGATACGTCATTAATGAACTGTGTTTGTATTCATAGATGTGTGTATTGGGACTTTACCAAGTCAGAATGGTCTACAGCTGGTTGCAGCGTGAAGGTAAATTAAACGTTTTGACAGCAGCGCGTCAATAAGCGTTCATGAGACTATGGACGACGAATGGCTCTCAAAACAGCTGTTGACGTCGCGACGTTCTGTACAGGACATTTATGAACCCTCTAAACCACAATCCCGAATTATGATTCAACGACGGAATTCAAATGTAGATTAAAAAAGATATCTACATTTCATGAGTTTCCTTGGCAGAATCTTGGTAGACTTTGAGTTCGTTTTGATGATCAAATTAGCTGGAAGCTCTTGTAGGAAAGGAAAAAAGAAACAAAGGGATTGGCCAGGAAGAATACCTGGAAAAGAAACGCTCGTGCAGATAGTTTTCACATTCATACTTAGCTTTAGTAACTAAGTGCAACTGGTATCGTTGGTATTTTCAGACTGATAAAGAAGACTTCGTCGAGTGTCAGTGTAACCACATGTCGAACTTTGCTGCTCAAGGACAAAGTGATGACCGCGTTGGATATTCTACTTATTTCTTTGTTGCTTGTTTTGTCTGTATGGTAAGTACATTGAATTGTTATCAAATCAAGCAGCATGGTCGAGTGGTCATAGCGGCGATCTCGCAATCCGGTGGTACTGAGTTGGAGTCCCGCTGTAGCCACTAGCTGAGACTGTATTTGTCCTGGGTTCTGATTAGTTCAAACTCAGTTTCTCGACCATGCTTGTAAATAGCCAACTGGTTTGCCTCCTTGCCAGTTGGGATTCTTAAAACACTTTATGTTTCCTTGATTATTTCTTCATTTTCAGTTTCATTTCAGTGTCCCCAATTAGTTACATGAATTAAATACATCGACACTTAAATAAAGTTATTTATTTATTATTATTATTTATCAAATGAGAAGTTTGTGTACTGTTCTTGGTACATAGTACAGTGAAGACCGACTCGAACCTTGAACACCTCGATCAAGATTGAAGTCACTTTTTTAAAATACATACTGTAAATCATCCCATAAGCCAATCGATTGGAAATAAAACTTATTTTGATCACTCTGTATTTTAAAACTCAATGCTTAAYTTTAGAGGGTTTGAATCAATCGAAAGGTCAGTAAATAATAACCTGTAAAACAAATTCGGTTTTGCGGACAATCATTGGAGAACATCTTTAATTTCTCCGGCTGTATATAACCTGCGAGCTCCAAATAAAACATTTCGTCGACTTTGGAGCTCTGGCTACCTGCGCATGTAGATAGTTTTCTGCTATCGTGCAGGATGGAAGAGGATGACGGCAGATTTGGATGTAGACTGTACACCATCCAAAGCCATGTTGTTGGACACAGGCCAAGTGTTTACGGTTCGAGTGTCCTCACTGTAGGCCTTTGGTTATTACAGATGTGCTACCGAAATTCCATCACAATTCAAAATAGTTCTTACTACAATACTACAAGGGTCAGTTTATTACAAACAGCCCTTACTTAACGGAACATCTGTTTTGAAAAAGTAAAGTAAAATGAAGTAAAATAAAATAAAATTTATGGCGATAAGTTTACTCGACGTTGTCATTATCAAGAGTAAATAATAGCAATCAAATGTAAATACATCAAAAAAAAAAAAAANAAAAAAAAAAAAAACAAAAAAAAATAGAAAAACAATTTAAGGATGGTTCCAAGTAAAAGAAAAGAAATGAAAACTGGAAGAACCAAAAGCATCGACAAGCTCGTCAAACCACAATCTTGACCTATGTTTGCGCATGCGCCCATTTAAACTTCTTGATGAATAATCCAGTGTCTTTGAACTTCGAATTGTTTGATTTTCTTTGTTCCAGGGTGCATTTGCTTTCGCTCTGTTATCCCACCACGCATGTTCAGTGGATAACCTCTTCTCGGCCAAGCTGTTGATGCACATGTTCTTTGCATGTATGGCTGCTCAGGTTAGTATGACGTCATTATGATATATGTCCTTGCATAGAATAGGCCTTCTCTAGGTGATCTATAAATATGATGCATTGTGGTCTAGCTTGGGTACAAACGCCATATAACACACGATGAACAAGAGATGTCGTACCTAATGTTGTGCCATCATGTTCGCTATCTCTAAAATGGTATATGAAAAACAGGAAAGGTGATTATCAAACTTAGTTCTTTTAGGGTCTCATGTACAGGAATTCGTACCAGTTGAATGGTATGTTTAGTACATGAATGATTGAGCATGGAAGGAAGTGCTTGCCCTCCACTGAAGGCCTTGGTAATAAGATTCGTTCAGCTGGTTGATACCAAGTAATGGACCTTTACTTGATGGCAGCCATGACAGGAGGCAGGAACAATTGAATCTGGTCTAGTCTGATTTACATAAGAAAGAATTCAGTTTCCCAGGGGAGAAAGACTACTGTCACACCAACTCCATGCCTCCTGTCATGGCTGCCACCACGTGATAGTGCAAATACTCTATAGAATCTGGTTGATGGCAGTGTTTGCCTGTCAATATAGGCTGGCAATGAGATTTATTCAGCTGATTAATACAATTGAGGTTCCTCAGTAACTAGTTTGTATTCATGTTCTGTTGACAGCTGATTTATGTAGTTGGTGTGAGATTCATTCAGCTGATTGATACAATTGATGTTCCCTAGTAACTAGTTTTGTTTTCATGTTCTGTTTACAGCTGATGTATGTTGTTGGTGCATACGTAAGCTCTAGTCAGGCGGTCATCACAGAAGATCCTCCTGTACGGTGCTCTGTTCTGGGAATGTTCATTCATTACTTCTTCCTCTGCCAGTTCTCATGGATGTTCATTCAGGTAAAGTCATTTTCTAAATAATTATTAATTGGGACAACTGTAAGAATACTTGAACTTGATTGCAGCTCCTTGATTGAGGTTAACTTTTTTTAATCGACTTTCTTCAAAGTTTTTTTTCTCGATTAAGCACATACATTTTTTTACACACAAAATTTGATGGTTTTGTCCTCTTGAAGTTCAAAGCGTGTATGGTTCCTCAATAAAATTTTGAAGGTTTTTTCTACGGTTTTGGTGCGCTCGCACATCGTGGGCTCAGATCGCATTTCAAAAATTATGCAGTCACCTTAAAGCCCCGTTTACACTGGCGATTTTTGCTGCGATTTTTGTGGCAATTTTCGGAAATATGAAATCTTTTGTCTCATCCTTCGAAAGAGACATTCGTCTAGGAAAATCTTGGTACTCTGAAAAAAACTTTACAAGTAAATTCTTTACCATTATTTATTATGGACAAAATCGCAAAAAAAATCGCAGCAAAAATCGCCGCAAAAATCACTAGTGTAAGCGGGGCTTTAAATAATCATTTCTCTGTTTCAGGGATGGAATCTGTGGCGTATTCTTGTTCTTAACGACGAACACACCGACAGGAAATACGTACTGTTCTTCGTACTTGGATGGGGTAAGAAAAATAAAGATTTTCATATCTAATATTTAAACGGTTACTTCAACTTTAAGTTTGACAATAAAGATTTTATCGTATTTTATCAAGAAAACATAAATGATAGAGGGAAACTTCTTCAATAACGCGCGCGCCATGTAAATCACCAGTTGGGCTATTTTTAGTAACCGAATGCAGTTAGATTTCGCCTTACCCTACTCCAGTGCGTCATCAACTTGGCAAGCGCACTCTTTCCGTTTCGTTTTTAGTGATCAAAACAATGAGAAGTTTATTAAGAAGTCTCCCTCTCTTATTTATGCTCTCTCAATTTTATTAACTTGGCCAAGAATAAACAATATTATAGATCCATACTCATGCTAGGTTTCTTAGTCTTAACCCTTCTCTCGCTTTCACTACATTTTGTGGCGTTGCCTGAACGGAAATATGTCGTTTAAATTTACCCTTAATTGTATTTTTGAAAAAGCGAGATAAAAAATACTAGATACAATTTTGATGTTACTTTGAATTCACTAGTGTGCCGCCTCATGGAACATTGTCTGACGTGTGTCTCATTCCACAGGTATCCCGGTGGTCATCATAGTACTCTACATCATCGTAGCACAAGCAGCCTTTTCTTGGAACCTTCATCAAATGTATGGTGATGTGCACTTGAATGGCGATATGTAAGTATTATATCAAAACCTTATAATAGACGTATATTGGGCGAGAACGAGCGAGCTATCACTAAGGCATTTGTCGATGTCTAAAATAGAGGCCAATAACTGTCGAGTTCTCTGTTGCTCAGGGTTAGCTAATGTGAGCAGAATATTCACGTGTTACAGTAAAGGTCCGTGGAGTTTCAAAGTTTCTGTATTGTGGAAGTAGTACATTCTATATTTTATTATTGGTATCACTCTCGACCCCAGAGTCCTGTTATTCTTACTGCGCATGCTCGACGAACAACTAGCATTTCGAGAGCATGCGCAGTAAGTATGATATGGCTCTGGGGTCGAGAGTGCATACTCGGGCATTCGTAAATCTTAGACACTGAAATGGGGCTAGCCCTGAGTTAAAGGGTTCTATAATCAAGGAACACAGCGGCAATTTCGAACTCGAAAAAAGCCTGTTTCGAATTATTTTGTAGGAAAATGAGCGAAATGGCCCAAAGTTAAATGGAGTATTCCTTGTATTTGTTAGGTGCTTCATACCCAATGCCTACGCTGCCTTGAGTTCAGTCGTTGTACCCACGCTACTGTTCCTAATGTTCGTGGCTGTGGTGTTTACTCAAGCCTACCAGGTCACCATGCAATGGAGATATTATGATGATATATACCGAGGACACTACAATATCAARGGTATCAAGTGTCTTCCTTAGCATGGACTCTGTCAAGTTAACTATGCCAACTACCATACTCATTCACTGACTCACTGACTGACTCACTGACTGACTCACTGACTGACTCACTGACT